AATGACCTTATTTTGTTTAAAATGCAGAGTTTCAATAGCCATCCCCCATTCCTCTTCCAGACTGGTTTGACCTCCTCCCTCACCTTCCGGACTGGTCTGACCACCTCCTTCATCTTCGAGACTTGTTTGACCATCTCCCTCATTCCTCTTCCAGACTGGTCTGACCACCTCCCTCATTCCTCATCCAGACTGGTCTGACTTCCTCCCTCACCTTCCAGACTGGTCTCACCACTTCCCTCACCTTCCAGATTGATCCGACTACTTCCCTCACCTTCGCGACTGGTCTGACCACCTCCCTCACCTTCCAGATTGGTCTGACCACCTCCCTCACCTTCCAGACTGGTCTGACCACCTCCCTCACCTTCCAGACTGGTCTGACCACCTCCATCATTCCTCTTTCAGACTGGTCTGGCCACCTCCCTCATCATCCAGACTGGTCTAACCACCTCCCTCACTTTCCAGACTGGTCTGACCACCTGTCTCACCTTCCAGACTCGTCTGACCTCCTCCTCCGCCTTCCAGACTGGTCTGACCTCCTCATCCTTCACTTTCCAAACCTGGTCTTTCCTACTCCTTCACCTTCCAGACCTGATCTTTCCTACTCCTTCACCTTCCAGACCTGATCTTTCCTACTCCTTCACCTTCCAGACCTGATCTTTCCTACTCCGTCATCTTCCAGTCATGGTCTGATCTGATGTAGCCTCGGCGGAACTAATTTAATTGACAGTTGGGCTAATTTTCTCTAGTCGGACCTGACCTCAAAAGAATCCCCTTGCACGTGAACAAACAAATGGGAGTTTGCATTATAATCCCCTTATTCTTTATTTTTATCTCAGTCTATTTTATTACCACGTATTTTATTTCATGCTGAAACTTCCAAAATAAAAAAGTTAATTGGTAATTTCATCTTCAAAAAATGTAGATAGGTACGATTTGACATATGGTGTAATACATTCACTGCTCGAGGGTTCCAATTTGAGATGTTATTAAATCTTTCTCGTTGAAAGTTTTAATGGTTGTAAGTTCAGTTTGTTACTATTTTATTGAGTGGAACTTTTGAGCGACATATTTAATTTGTTTCTATTTTGCTTTCCATAAAATCCTTGCCTAGAATATTTTCAGCTGATTATATAACCTTAAAGATGTAACTAAAGTCCACCTCTTTAATAACATCAATGAAAAACTCAAATGTTAGAGTTAGCTCTAGCTAGAGAAGCTCAAAAGTTAGTTAGCTCTGGCTAGGGAAACTCAAAAGTTAGAATTAGCTCTAGCTAGAGAAACTCAAAGGTTAGAGATAGCTCTAGCTAGAGAAACTCAAAAGTTAGAGATAGCTCTAGCTAGAGAAACTCAAAAGTTAGAGTTAGCTCTGGCTAGAGAAACTCAAAAGTTTGAGTTAGCTCTAGCTAGAGAAACTCAAAAGTTAGAATTGGCTCTAGCTAGAGAAACTCAAAAGTTATAGTTAGCTCTAGCTAGAGAAACTCAAAAGTTAGAGTTAGCTCTAGTTAGAGAAACTCAAAAGTTAGAATTAGCTCTAGCTAGGAAATTACACTGAAAAACTTGTGGGGAGTAATATATAAAGAATCTAACACAGAGTGGGTCGTCACAGTTGGTTTTTGCTAATGACACTGTACTTTTGGGAGATTATGAAGAGAAGCTGAAGAGGTTGGTGGATGTGTGTATGTAACGTAGCATTTGCAAAGCAGATATATATATATATATACACTGAAAATGATATATCTTTTAGTGTATATACGCCACGATTCCCCCTCACTCTATTCCGCAATTATTCCATCTTCATATTTTTACCTTTTCCTTCCTTCGTTCCGTTGACAGAAGCGAATTTAATACACTGGTGGTAACCCGATGTCAAGTTCGTAAACTTGAGACATTACTGCAGGTAATCATACAGCTTTTCAAGGTCAATTCACCATGCAAATTGGAGCTTGCTGCCTCTGTATTACAATTTAAACTGGAACCAGGTATTGTTTGGACGTTGTAATCCAGGCTACGTTACATGAAGCTAATAATATGTAATTACAGAACAGTTTGACGAAGTTCCTTGTCATGTTTATGTCTAAGGACAACTTCTGCAAGCACTGTTAGATAACTGGCATTGTGTAATTTGGGAAAATTATATGTATGTCGTGCCGAATAGGTAAAACTTGCGATTCTGGCTTAAATAGTAATGATCTTGCTGAATTAGGCAAGCGAAAATGTGTGTGTGCAATAATTTTGCAAAAATCATTCTGAACCTAACGCAAAAATTATTTCATTGGGTTTGTTTATTATTAAGTAATTAAATTGTGCCTGTTATAATAAGGTTAGGTAAGTTTTTTAAGATTCTTAATTTTAAATGAGTTCCTGCTAAATGACCAGTTTTACCTATTCGGCACGATATATATTATTATCACCCAAAGATTGGTTCGAGCTAAATAATTTTAACAAAATTCCAATACCAAATAGGATTACTGGGGAAAATTTATAAGAAAAACCTATGCCAAAAAAATGCCATCAAAAGTGATCCTGTATTTTGTGAGAGACGACGTGAAGAAAACAATATTGTCAGGGGGAAACAATTTTGAAAAAAAAAATTTTTATAATGCATGAGAAAATATGGGAATTTTTAAGAAATATGATATGAAAACATATTACTCTGTGGAAACTAGATGAGACGAGCGATGAAATATTCCTAAAAGTATTCCAAACTTCTTTAATCTTTGATAATGTCCTTTGAGATACCTAAGTTTTAACTCTGAAAAGTTGGCTATAAAGTGAGGCAAGGCTGTAGGAACTATTGTAAGGTGTGTTTGTAAGTGGTGAGTATGTGAGTATGGTGGAGAGTATGGGTGAGAGAGTGCCAGTATGGTGGAGAGTGTGGGTGAGAGAGTGCCAGTATGGTGGAGAGTGTGGGTGAGAGAGTGCCAGTATGGCGGAGAGTGTGGTGGAGATTGCCAGAATGGAAGTGTGAGTATGAAGGAGTGTGTTGGTATGGTGGAGTGTGTGTATGAGAGAGAGAATACCAGCATGAAAAGAGTACCAATAAGTGAGTGTGAATGAGAGTCTCAGGATGCATAAGCATGTATGAGTGAGAGAGAGAGAGAGAGAGAGAGCAGAACCACCCTACTAAAGAGCAGGAAAAATATACTTAGAAAGCGACTGTACTGTGCTCAATGCTGGACACGGGACAGCGATGAAAACAGCACATTCGCGGAGATGATGGCAGTATCATTACAGAAGAGGATGCTGGAGATTTGCAATGAGAAAAAATACAGTGGACCCCCGGTTAACGATATTTTTTCACTCCAGAAGTATGTTCAAGTGCCAGTACTGACCGAATTTGTTCCCATAAGGAATATTGTGAAGTAGATTAGTCCATTTCAAACCCCCAAACATACACGTACAAACTCACTTACATAAATACACTTACATAATTGGTCACATTCGGAGGTGATCGTTATGCGGGGGTCCACTGTACTTGAAGAAGGTCTTGCCATTTTCTGGGAAGGAGAACTTGATGCTTTATACCTATAAGACCTCGTTTTTCACCCATTTCGGGTACCCAGGTCTATTTAAATGTGCTGTAATATGTGCACTGGCAAAAGTGCTCGTCAGAGAGTATAGTCAGTTTGTTAATAAAGCTTGTAAACAGAAATATTATCCGAGTGATCAAAATTTTAAATCCTTTGTGCAATGTATTAAAATATGCATTAACACACGACCATTAGCTTCCTCTTTATTATTATTATTATTATTATTATTATTATTATTATTATTATTATTATTATTATTATTATTATTAAAGGGAACATTTAGAAAAACAGCAAATGTAGATGAAAATGATTATCAAAATTAAAATATTCATGAATATTTTCCATGCAGATAAACTTACACACAAACACGCAAGCAAAACACACACACACACACACACACACACACACACACACACACACACACACACACACACACACACACACACACACACACACACACACACACACACACACACTCCTGAAAGACCAAAATAGAACGCCCCTTGTCTCTAAATCTACCAAACATACAGAAATAACATCCAAACATAAAACTAATAAAACTGCAATGCTCACCCAATGTAAAATAAAGCTGTTTTAAGACCTCAGGTTTTACTCGACCCTAATAACACCAGTTGTTGACTAATTCTTTCCAATGCCCTTAATGTAATTTTTTTTTCTATCCACTAGCTGATTCATGAACGGATTTGCTGGAATATTAATAAGCATTAATATCACATTTTTTGGGGCTACCGCTGTTATATTGTCACACTTTTTTAATGTGCTATGCTGAAATGTATTTTTAATATTAATATTATAAATATAGATTTGATTAATTTTTATACAACAATAATAATAATAATAATAATAATAATAATAATAATAATAATAATAATAATAATAATACAATGATAATATTATTTTTATTATTACATTTGAATTATAATTTAAAAGTGAAAACTCTGTTCACTATTTTTAAACACTTCTCTTTAAATAATAATATATAATTGTTGTTGTTGTTTTTTTTGCAGAATGAACAAAAGCTCTTTGTATATAAGATTAACATCTTTCCTTTATCAAGAATTGTCTAAAATATTCCCCATCACTGATTCAAGAATAAAGTGTGTCTTTTAATAGAACTGTATTAAAAAATTCTACATGTTATTGTATATCACTGTATTATACTCGAGTGATTTTTTTCTGGATTAGGCTGGATTTATTTGCAATTTACAACTAACCCACAATTTGATACATTGAATTTTGCTCTTCTACTCAAAAAAATGGTTGTGATTTGACCAGTATTTTAGGACTTGTGAGCGAAATTTATCGACACAGAAAATTATCAATACGATTTTCTAGATAATTTTTTCCTCTACACAATAAGGGTTAGCTGTTAATTGTACCAGCAGTGAGAGTGGGACTTTTAGTCTTCATTTGTGCATAATTAACTTTTCTTTCTGTTCCTGCGAGCAGATCTCAACGGGAGGCGGTATCGTGTCGCATTTAGTGAGTCTAACAGTAGTGGTTCCACGCGCCGTCATCCCGGGAAATGGAGAATACCACGTCGAGTCTGGTTCCACCATCTCTCTCGTCTGCTTCATCGAACAGGTGAGAAAGTGCTCACTAAGCTTCAATCTCAACCCAATAGGCTGCTTGGTTAATATTTATCACCTACTCAAACTGTCATTAACGCTACAGATAACATACCCCTCAAGGGAGATTCCTTGACGCTGGTGAGGGGCTTTTGATCTAGGAAATTGGAGCTGTGCTCCAGTTCCCTGAATTGAGCCTAAATGCCTTCCATCTCCCCCAACCCTATGCGCTGTATAATCCTATGTGTTTAGCTCTCCCCTATGATTAATGATAATACAGATAACATATCCACCATTTAAGATTACTTTAATCCTTAAAATCGCTATTAAAGTAAATTCTCAGTTTATATACACAGATATACACCTCTCGGTGTATATATTCTGTGTATGTTGTTCAGTTTATTCACTCTACCAAGACTACTGATGTTACCACTGCTTCCATTACAGCCTTATCGATGCCACCAGCACTACTACTACTACTACTACTACTACTACTACAACTACTACTATTACTAGTACTACTATTACTACTAGTAGTAGTACTACTATTACTTCTACTACTACTACTGCCTTAATAATTGCATTTTACAAATCCACCATCTCTGCTATAACCACTATTAGAAATAACTATCAATATTATTATTATTATTATTATTACTACTACTACTATTACTAGAGTTACTACTACTACAACCACCAATATTACTATCTTCATCAATACCCTTTATATTGAAATTACAGCTCGTACTAGAATAACTCTATCTCTCTCTCTCTCTCTCTCTTCTCTCTCTCTCTCTCTCTCTCTCTCTCTCTCTCTCTCTACTCCCCTTATTCTTTAATATATTCCTAATTTTACATATTTATTTTATATTACGACTTTTTTTGTCTGATTATTTCTATTACCTAAACTTTCACCATCATTAACCAAAGTTTATAATGTAAGTAAACTTCAAACGCGGTCGTTATATGCATATAAATTTTAATGCAATTTCCACATAATTGGTCTCCTGATTACCTAATTCCTGTATTACATTTACATAATACATTATTAAAATAACCAGAGAAAATATTACATTAAAACTGATATAAAAAATGTGTCTTCTTGTAGCCAAAAAAAAAAAAATTAAGGTGTGACATATATATAAAAATATAAATAAAATGAGAGTTAGCCTGGATTTAAAGGCTTTATTAAAGAACATAAGATTTATTAGCTTTTCTGTAAATCGTTTTTTTTAATCATTATTTTGAGCGACTTAATATTTTGATGACCAGATTGAAATTGAATTTTACGTGTCAGGGTTATTGTAATTTGTGGTCAGGGAGGAGGGGGGGGGGGTTAAAGGGAAACTGACGTTAGGAGTTGGGGGAGTTGAAAGACAGCTCTAGGCCTTTCGTCTTGCAATCAACACATCATCAGGAGCTTGCAATGTCGCAGGAAAGATGATAAAATCCCAGAAAACACGTTCAGTGCGAGAGTTTTTGTTAGATACGATAGTGCCCACGAGGTTATTAGGGAGAAAATCTGGCAAGAAGCAAGTTGAGAAACTGAGCCAGGAGCTAAGACCCCTGCAACCACATATAGGTGAATTCATACGTATACGTGAATGCACACACACTTATCTCCCTCCCTCCCTCTCTCTCTCTCTCTCTCTCTCTCTCTCTCTCTCTCTCTCTCTCTCTCTCTCCTCTCTCTCTCTCTCTCTCTCTCTCTCTCTCTCTCTCTCTCTCTCTCTCTCCTCTCACTCTCTCTCCTTCTATCTCAAACACGTTAGTACCCTTTTCAGAGGAAACATTAGTCAATAAAATTAATCAGAAAAGTAATTAAGGTCAAATTACCTAAAACAAATGCAAATAAGTTATCGTGTCGAAAATACCATTAATAAAATTACCTTATTAAATAAAACCATCCAAAAATATTAATTATATATGTTTTATTTATTCATGAATTCTGGATGAGCAGAGATTTTTTAATTAGATTTGTTGATAGTCTAATTATTAATAATGATTTTAACTTGTAATTTTTTTCATAGTCACATTTTTAAGGGAATTTTATTATTAGGTACTTTTTTGTTATATTATATTTACTATGAAATTCAAATCATTCAGTATATATATATATATATATATATATATATATATATATATATATATATATATATATATATATATATATATATATATATATATTATATAATCCAGTACTCGGTGCATCTGCATCACTTCTTCTCACCGAGTTAACAACTTTCGTCAACAACTGCCTGGCTGGGCGAATCCCAGAAGAAATTAAACCTTTCTTTTTTGGAGCCTCACTGTGTGCCTTGAAGAAGAAGGATGGGGGAATCAGACCCATTGCGGTTGGGAACACTCTTCGCCGTCTCGTTGCCAAAGCAGCAGTAAGAAACATTCGCCTAGAAGCTGCCAGTTTACTCCAGCCACACCAACTGGGCTTTGGGGTCCCTCTAGGCAGTGAAGCTGCAGCTCATGCGGCAAGGGCCTACATCAGAGACCTACCAGAAGACAAGGCCATAGTCAAACTTGATTTTAGAAATGCCTTTAATATGGTAAAGAGAGATGCTGTCTTGCCAGCTGTTCGGGATCGCTTCCCCAGTCTTTTTCCGTTCATTTCAGCCGGCTACAGCAAACCCTCAATTCTTTTGTTTGGAGAACATGAAATTCTCTCATCAGAAGGTGTTCAGCAGGGTGACCCACTCGCTCCACTTCTCTTCTGCTTGGCAGTAAGAGAACTAACTTCCAGCCTAAGCAGCGAGCTCAACATCTGGTACCTGGATGATGGCACTCTGGCAGGTACTGAAGAGTCCCTGGTAGGGGACCTACAACTGGTGACAACACAGGGAGAAGACTTGGGACTCATCCTCAATCCTCCAAGTGTGAAATCATCACAGCAAACCAGGAAATAATCAATGCTGTGCGAAGAATTCTCCCAGAAGTCTCTACTACCACTCCGCCCAACAGTACCCTCTTGGGAGCACCGCTGGGTCACCAGGTCATCGACACAGTCCTCAAGGACAAATTGAATGACCTGATGAGAATGGAGGAGAGAATAAGCAATCTTGATGCCCATGATGCTCTGTATCTCCTCACAAGGTGCCTTACTATTCCAAGACTCACTTACTTCCTCAGGTGTGCACCCTCTTTTGACAACCCAACACTTGACGAATATGACGCACACCTGAGGTCAACCCTTAAGAAGGCACTGAACCTGTCACTAGAGGATCAGCAATGGGATCAGGCAACCCTCCCAGTACGACTGGGAGGTATAGGGGTGCACAAAGCAACGCATGTTGCTTTACCTGCTTTTCTGTCTTCGTGTTTGGCTTCCAGTGCATTAGTCAAGAAGATTGTTCCCGAACGCTTGAGAGACGTGGTAGGAGCTCAAGACCCCAGGTTTACTGAAGCAGCGATTCGGTGGGACACCCTTACAGATTCCTCCAGTAGACCAGCTCCTCCCAAAGAACACAAACAGTCCCACTGGGACAAACCGATCATGGAAAAAATCGCCAACACAATGCTCTCCAACGCCTCAGGAAAGGACAAAGCTCGTCTCCTGGTGTTGCTCTTCGCCTAGCCGCCCCCATCCTCACCGAACATAGGTGTATTTGCGGCAGGGCGACAGCTGATCAATTCGGACTTCATGGTCTCGTGTGTCACACAGCAGAAGGGAAGTATGCCAGGCATGAGGAGGTCAATGACATCATAAAGAGAAGCCTCGCCACAGCCCGTTGCCCAGCTCAACGGGAACCCCAAGTGCAGAGGTCTGACGGAAGTCTAAAGCGTCCTGATGGAGCTACTATGCTACCTTGGAAGGATGGAAAGCAGATTGCCTGGGACTACACATGTGCCGCCACATTGGCAGACACCTACTTGCCATACTCCGTAGTGGAAGGGGGTGGAGCTGCCAGCCAGAGGGAGACTCAGAAGATCCGCAAATATGAAGACCTTCCCCCTTGCTATAACTTCATTCCAATAGGGTCGGAGACCCTTGGAGCATGGGGCAAGTGTGCTCTAAAGTTCCTCAAAGAGCTAGGTGAAAAGATCATCATAGAAACCAAGGACCACAGGGCGACCAGCTTCCTCTTTCAGAGACTCAGTGTTGCGATCCAGAGAGGAAATGCCTGCAGCATTCTGGGCACGCGGCCCACCGCCGGGGAGCTGGACGAAGTATTCGAGATGTAGCTCTGAGTTACCTATGTTGTTTTACTTTGTATCATATTTTTGTGAATGTTTTGTCAATGTATTTTGTCTTTAAATAAAATATATATGCATATAATATAGGGGGTGGTAGGAGAAAATTCTCAAACAGCTTCAGGGAGAATCTTGAGTTTTCCCTGAAGCAAGTTTATTCTTTTCTCTGAGGATGAGGGTCCCTATAACAGTTCTAGAGGTGGTACCTCCCTATATTAATATATTATATATTTATATATATATATAAATATATATATATATATATATATTATATATATATATATATATATATATATATATATATATATATATATATATATATATATATATATATATATATATATATATATATATATATAATATATATATATATATATATATATATATATATAATATATTATTATATATAATATATATATATATATACATTAGGTAACCTGCTTGCGAGCAGGTTACCTAACGTATTGATGTATCTTTACTCAGGAAATAGTAATGACACGCTTGCAAACAAACCATACCATGGGTGGGGATAGAACTCGCGATCAGAGTCAAAAAACTCCAGACCGACGAGTTAGCCACTGGACCAGTTAGCTACGACATGATTCATGATGACAGCTTTGAGAGGATTTGAGGTAGAGCTAGTCACGGCCACGCTGGCGGGAGATTCGTCTTAAAAATTTGCAATTGTGGTCACAGTGGTGCCTATACTAGCTTTCCTATTATGTACAAATATACCTAGCAGGACGAATATTGTTGTACCCACTGGCAGAGTGGCTAGCGCGTCGGTCTGGAGTTTTATAACTCTCTAATCGC